TATATATATATACTTGACGACGCAACCATTTCAAGCTATCCTGAAAACACGGAAAAACATCCGATGCGGCTTCACATTTGCAATGTTCTCGGCAAAGTCTTGTATGATTTTCAGACCCTAGAATAGACGATAAATTCGTGCTATGCACTGCAGCATGTTGAAGTGGTGGATTGACGGATATAGGATATTTTGCACAATCGAGACTCTCACGCAGGCCTCCTACGCTGGTAAGAAACGCGTGTATTCGTGTTCTCGGGTCCTCATTACTTGTTCTGAAGGATACAAAGGCCTTAGCTGGCAAACGACTTGTGAGGCATTCTAACGGCGCTGACAAGGGGGTTAAGGCTTCGGTCAGCCACCAGAGCAGGGGACAAGAACACTTTGCTCCGGGCTGGCACGCTGTGCCCCCCATAAAGGCAAACCGCTTAGCTCTCCCACTTGCCTTTAGAACATATATTAGGGGCGCCGAGTGAAGGCTGGAAAATTGCTGCGGTGAATTTGGCACCGTTTTTGAGGATCACGAGTCCCCAGTCGGCGGTGATGCCTCGGTATACTCCGAGCACCTAATAAGCTAAGCATCTGGGTATGCTCGCTCTGCGAAGTTCCAACTGCTTACATTCAATAAAGTTGGCGCTCACTTTGTTATATACGCGGCCTGTTGGCAGTCCCTCTTAGCCTTAAAAAGGTAGCAAATGATCCAACATTTATAAGTGGGTAAGTTCAGCGGAGAGGCGCGTTGCCATTGCATTATAGCGAGAACAATAAATGGTACCCGCTGGTTGATTTTGAAGATAGTACCCGTGGACGATTTGGATTAACACGCCGAAGACCTCTTTAATCGGGTCCTGGTAGACTGGGGAAGCTGTTTCGTCGCATCAATTAAAATCGACGTTGTAAAAAATCCGAAGCAACTTTTAGCACGGGTTCAGTCATCGTTTATGTTTTATTTTAAAGCCGAGCTTGATTTATCATCGTTTTGCCTTTTACAGCAATAGTTTAGCACTCGAATCGATGCTACGTGTTCGATTAACGGGGAAAAATTTTTACGCTAGCAACATTGACGCTTGGCAACAACGCTTGACTCTATCGATACTTATGGCCAATTCTGTTATTACCGACAGCTTCGCAGATACAGATGTTTTCCTAGACAGTGTTTATTGAATCGACGGGTCTGCATCAGATTTTATCATAAGTAACAGAATTGTGTTGAATCAACCGCAGCTTTATTATATAAAGTAACACATCCGACCAATCTTGCAAACAACGATTTTCTTAAATAGTAGATACTGATTTAAGTAACAAGATAGATATCGTATTGAACACAGGAAACACGGTCGTGTCGATCTTTACTTTGTACGAATGAGCGCTTACGCTTATGGCGGTAGTAAACACAAAAGCTCACGGCTAATACGACGACAACGTTTGCGAACACAAGCGGCCTCGTTGTTTTTTGGGGGTTTCGCTGCAGAGACTTTGAGTTCAGAGCCAGCCCCAGCCCCAGCCCCAGCCCCAGTTTATCAAGCAATGTTTGATTCGCTCTTACAAAATGTTCGAAAGCATTTTTAGCTGTCAAAATTATATTGCGCTTTTATAATATGGTATAATAAAATTTAGTAAACATGTATAGCTGATCAAATCGCGGTTCAACCCTGCATTGAATAGAACACCATCGGTGCTTGGACAAGTCGCAAATAGATGCTGTTAATACTAATAATAAATAAAATAAAGTGCGCTATGTGTAATTTTTTGAATAAAATTTCAATAAATCTAGACGTACGAGTATGAGAAAGACATACGTGAAAATCTTGTGAGCATTTATAGGTACTTTGTAACGGTCTAGCCTTTACGAAGGAGGTCTGATGACATCATGCCACCCGAACTCGTTCAAACATAGGAAATTTGGTTTTAAGTAATGTGAAAACGTCCTTGGAATTGCGGACGAACGAGCAGTGCTCGTCTCGTCCACGTTTTCACGTCAGGAGAAATGCAGAAAAATCCAACTCGGCATGATAGTTCGTGCTGTGGGAAAAGCGCACCGAAAATATAACTTACCCTTTGCGTATCCCAAGATGATCATCTGTCTAGCTTTTACCTTATGAGAGGTAAATGCCAAAATATGTCTTATCCTATGACGGAGCGTCCCGTATACATATTCATATACGTCCTGCACACAGACACGCACACACATATGGTGAACGTTTTTGGCTCCGTATAAACTGTGTGCCAAATACATTTTGCTGTAACAGGAAAGAAGCCTGTATGGCCAAATGCGACGTTCATAGGAATAACAGTATTACGAGGATTTGCTCTTCGATGGTTTACTAATATCAATATGTAAGTAAATAAAGATTTTTTTCATTTCATCTCAAAGATTCATTTCAATTCAAGAAAAACAAATGAGAATCACTGTCGGTCCTGATTTAATACATCATGTCGCCATTGTTTGTACTTTTGTCCCGTTATTTCCTTTCTTTGAACTATCTTTCGACCGTACCTAGCAGATTGCAGTGGTATAATGAAGATAATTTCGATGAACAGAAAGGTTAGTCTGAGCGCAGTTGCCACTTAGAATAGGCCTGTTGTGATAGTCCTTTAACCTATACGTGTATATATAGTACATTAACGTGTGTACGCTCCACGATATGTCAAAATGATGAAAGGCCAAGAATTATTTGTCTGACAGAGAATTCATATGACACTATCCCTATAACACAATCCAAAGCATAGTGAAACAACGTACTGAAGATCGCTGTCTACCTATGGCTTTATATCCTGTACGTGCAGTAGTCGTAAATTTGCAGGCTAATTTATGGCGAGACGTACAAAGGCCTATATGATATCGTACGTGATGCGCAATGAGGACGTTCACCTGCTTGTTGAAACGACGTTGGTGGCCGCCTCTTATCATTTGATGCACCCTTCTAACCGCTCATGTCGCATTGAAAATGACAGTTCCGTTGCATCGAGCCTCCATCATTATCTTTAAGTTTAAATATTGCATCTGTGAAGGGCGAGCTATCCTGTCGACATCACGGTGTCGTAATCTGTCGAGAGATTTCGGGAGATTTTCGTATAAGCATATAGAGGTGAAGGGCTAGTGAAGGTATGTCTAACCCCTTACTAATATTTATTTTTTTTTTTTTTTACAATAGTTTGATCGTACGATATCTAATAGAAATAGAATTCAAAAGTGGTGAAGTCGTTACTAAACTACTACGAAATCCGCATTTTACAAATCAGGTACTAAGCAAATCGAACATTAGCCACTTATAATATTATCTAGTTTTTAGATTTTTGATTGAGCATATTATATGAGGTGTGATTCGTGTACTATTAATTACCAACAACTTCATAGGGCATAACACATAACTTTCTTAATAAGCATTTCTTCAAAGCGGACTCGACGCACTTCAGACACTATAAAACGGTCACGACAATTTCTTTCATAGACAGTATTTGAAAAGGTACGCGTTGAAATAATATCTGCATACCTTATTTAAACGGTAAACAGAAAATATAAAGGTTTTGAGGTCTACGCAAAACGATCGACTCCGAAACGTCCTCCCACGATCACTCCACCAGGGACCGCCGGATCTGTGAAACACACACTTCAGAACCGATCGTGACTGGGTTCGTGTTTCGGTATGGCCCATGTGTATATTAATATAGAATGCCAACACGTAATTTATAGCATGGTGCCCAAAATTGACTTTACTTCGCGGTAACAGTTGCCAATGACACTGCTACGATTTACGTAGCTTGTGAAGTCCCCTCTAAGCTGGGTCTGAGCCAGCCATCGCTGCAGCGTTCGAACGGCGCTTACCTGGAAGCGTTTAGTCGTATGCATGAGCGGTTACTGACCCTTCGCGCCGATCAGGGTTGTTTGCCTTTTTTCACTGTCATTTTCGCGGCCGATTATCTTACCATTTCGATAGACTGAGCCAAATTGAAACTATGTTTCTCTTGGATAACAGCAAGGGTTTGCCCTGTCGCTGCATACATATGAAACATCAAATATAGGAGCCCAGTCTAGCTCGTATTAGTTTGTGCAATCATAAAGCGATCTCGAAAGCAGTCGAGAGAACAAAAACAAAGGACACTAGATAGAATATACTCCGCTTCATTAGAATTACAAGTACTTCGAGCAAGAAAAATTGTGACGTAACTAACCTGTTAAATTTATAGAGATTGACAGAGAACAAGAGAATACCTCAGGTTAAAGTTTCAAGTATTCACTAAGTTGCGCGATTAGTTTTCATCCTGCAAGCCACCCTTTGTTTTCATTCAAACTAGCGTGTAAAATAATAATTTAAATCATTAAAAGCCTATCTAGTCAGCTTTACTTATTAAACGCAAATTGTTTTAATTTGGCCTGATTTTATTTAAAATAGCTGACATTACTTTGAGATTGATTGGTCAATAATTTTTCCTAGCATTGCCTCCCCATCAACATAATCTCGAATTTGTGAACTAAATCTCCTAAAATCGTCCGTTTAAGAACACCTGAAACGAAAAGGTGAACTTTTGCTTTCCGCGTATTTATTGTTCAACTTTATTTACCGCGCGCATACATCTGCTTCCCGTCGTCTTTATAAGTGAATGAAGTGATAGCTGTGTTACGCACACATACATCTGGCTACGAATGAACGTGCCTGTGCAAGGGGTCTCACATAGACACTGTGATCTGTATGGATCAGCAGCTTTGCAAGCTTTCCCCACTCAGCGGTGCTCGCCCGCACCGACCCTAACAGAGGGCGCTAGTATACGATATGAGCATCTGGGGCCCCAATGCACGGAGCTCGGACAACCCTCCGGCCGCAGTACATCGGATCATGTGATGTGATATGTGGGAATATATCTATCAGACGGTCGGGCACACGCACACAAGATCCATCGAAACCTGAGGTCAAACCGGACAGCTTCCAGATGCCTGCGTGTTTTGCCCGTCCGGAGGCGGCGGCGGCGGCTATGGCGTTTGATCAGATCCTGTTCTCTGTCCTCCCATCGGTGGTGCCAGTCTATGGCTCCTCTTCGATCCCCTCCTCGCTGCTATAGCTTCTGGCCCGTTTTGCAGCAGGCCGAAGATCCTGCCTAGGCCTTGATTTCAGGTTCTTCCTCAAAACAACAGGACGGACTTATGCAGGATGGACCAGAGGTCGAGCAATGAAACAAACAAGGAGAAGATCCGGATCATGATTGTGATGACGATGACGGTGCTAGAAACCAATCGAATAGCACCGTAAACCGTGTTATTTGACTGCTACGTAATGCTATGTATTATAATTAGCCGATGTAATTGGTCTCTAAGTTCCAGGCATTGGGAGGTGAGTAAACCATATTCGAAACGGTATAGAATTAATATATTCATTCATTGGTGGCGATGACGATGCTTAATCGGCCAGTATCGAGCATACGCCCCAGCGCTGATGTATCAGTAGCTAGCAAAGAATACGATATAGAGTGCTATGACGTTGACATAAACGCCAAAACATAGATTATAATGATATAACGGATAAAACTGATATAATATATATTACTGAAATAGTAAGAGCTAGGACTTTATAGTTACTAAAGATAGTTGTACTCAGGTTAGTGTAGGCCAAGCTCCTGAACACATGAATGACTGACCACCTAAAATGTGCGTTTTTCAACAGAAGTATAGCCGTTATCCTCTGGGCATACAAAAGCAAACTTGCGACGATGCGACAAATCAGCAAAACTGCATCGCGTCGGTGACGTTCAAAATGTGAAATTACGGAATATTAATAGAATAAAATACCTTTAATAGTAATAAATAATAATATAAATAAAGACAAAAATAAAAGATGCTCATAAGCTAGAAGTGAGAAAAAGCCTCCACCTCATGCGATCCGTGTTTTGTAGATGGCAGAATGTTTGGAAAAAAAAATTGCAAATAGTCATCGATATCCTGATTGATCAGCTATATAGTGATTTTGAAGTGCGGCATATACGAACCAAGCTATCGGCTAAAAAGTCCTAAAACAGTCGCGGGTTTGATGCTGCTACACTGAGCATCCATTTCAGGTTTCATTTTTTATATGATCGCAGTCCTTATGGATCTTTATATCGGACAATGGGCGAGGTAGGCGTATATCAAAAGGCGAGGGAAAGGCTGGCTTCTTGTGACGGCCTTGACGTTCGATGCGACGCGTTGGCTCCAGAATGCCATTAAGGCAAGTGATTATCGATGCTGGGCCCTCGAGGCGTTTCTTCTCCCTGATGGTGTAGCCACACAATGCGCCGCTTCTAGGTGGGAAGCAGTGGGAATGTTAATCAGTTAACAGCACACGTCGGCTCTTCCCACAAACGAATATCAAGAAATAGACGCCATAACAACCGATAATATTAATACACAGTTTATTATAACTGCTATATACTTGATATAACGTATAACTTCACCAGCATGCCCACTAGAAAATCGTGACTGAATAACGGATCACGGAAAAAGCATTGTCAATCGGCGAAACGAAAAAAAAAAAAGCGTTTAGAGAAGTTTTAGGTGACCTAGAGGTGCATAGGGATACCTCATAATATCTCAGACTATAAAGCTACCCTATTGATCCGATGATGGTAGCTGAGCGTAATTAGTACTTAAAAAAAAAATGCCTACAGATGATCGGACATAAAAGCGGAACGAACTCACTCCAACAATAGGCAGACGCTCTTATTTGAGCTAATTATTACTATAGAAATAGTATAGAAACCAACGTCGTTATTATGGTACTGCTCACAGAGCTACCTTTTAAAAAAATGAATAATTACAATTCTGTTTTATTTGGCAAATTGTTACCTAGACCCGATTATACGACTACTGACTTAACTCGAAAAGTAACACTTTTCGCGATAGGGTTGCGGGAGATGTTTTTTATGTGTGGCCTGATAATATGTTGTACACTGATATTTCGGGTTCTCTTTACGCTGCTCACAATGAAATACATACAAATATGTACCTACGTATAACGCATAGGGACATGTATTTTCCTATAGACAACGCTAGCTTTTTAGCTTATACAGAATTGGAATAGACAGCTAGACAAATAAATAGACAGATATTATTGTCAAACGAACACACGATTCTAAAATTCCAAGCTCTTTCTATATATGTTGCTATTGTTGTCTAAGCTAGTAGCCCCATCTCCCGCTTCTTGCCCCCTTGTCTTCCGCGCCACACTTGCGTTTCGTCAGCTGTCTAGAAATTGCGTACCGGCTTCAAGGTACTATAGCAAAATGTAGAGCTAGGCGTTCTACTCTACGAAGCTACCAGCTTGCATCTCATAGGCTGATTTCGGATTCGCTAGTAGCTTCTCGATTGCTGGCAGCCGGAAGAAAGGCTTTGTGAGTTCGACGTAGACAGACCTACTGCACAGCAGAAGCGGCGGCGGAAAAAAACGCAAAAGGAAGACGGCGTTTTGGTCCGACAAAGCCGATGGAAATCCGATCGCGATTTTCAAACAAAAGCGAAAAAGAGAGGGACACTACAGGGGCTGCTACAGTCGCATATGCGATTCGCGGTATTAAAATGAAGTCGAGTGAAGGTCTGTTGCAGAATCGTTTCTGGAAAAATGTATGTCCCCGATGGACGACGTGTCCGGAGCCCAGGGCTACGTGGGAATGCCCTTTTTCATCTTCCTTACAAGTGATATTTTCTCAAACAGCTTGCTCTACGTATGCTGTTGGCGCTATTTTCTTTTGCCCTTTGTAGGCTGTTGAACGCATGGGCTGGACTGTTGATGAACTATCTTGTTGTGCCATTTCACGTAACTGAAAACGCTTTGTCGAGATCGATGCCACTTACACTCTTACATTGTTTCGAGCCTTAAACTCTATCCTTAGAGTTTATCTAACTTATCTTTGTCCTAGAAGAAAAGATTCAAACTAATCTGTTTACGACCGGCCACATAGTTCATTATATACCAGTTAAAAAGTTTCTATATAGCCCTTCGTGACGATTAATCGTAAGGAAAAGTATAAACGTATGTCTGCACAATATTTGTATGACTTTTTGAGAAACCGTTTTTGTTAAATTCAAAAAGAAAAATATAAGCGCTTCATTTGTGATTGACGCTATTCCTTGATGTAAACGGTTTAATGTCAAATAAAATATGGACTATATATAAAATTATATGAGAGATTTGTCGTAGAGTAAGGAAACACTGGAAGAATATACTGCTGGGTAACAGAGTCAATATATTCTTCTATTGCAGGTTGATTAACAGAACTAAAGCAACATATCTCGAAAAATATCGTAGTGTTCACTGTATGTCTCTCATGCGATACATGTGTATATCTAACAAAACTACTCGTGTCTTTAAATCCACTAAGCATAAAGTATCTGCTAGATGTATAGGAATATTCCCGCTTAATTTCATAACTAACGGATTACGGTGCTTTCCGCGCAGAGTTTGTCACCGCCTGTCCGATGCAAAGAAAAAATCTCGATGATTTGCTATGAGTAATAGATGCCATAAACAAGTTCAATACGTACGGTAACAAGATTGTACAAGCAGAGACCAGACCAGGATGACGAAAATTGACTCCTTTGCGGAAACCCAGCAGAAAGCAGGCACAGCAGAATGTGTTTAACTTGTGGTTTAGCAGAAAGGCGTTGAGGCACAACGGCTACGTGTGGGTCACGTCTGGCCCGGGACGAGCAAAGTAGTAACCAGTACGTGTTTCGACCGGCCCTTCTTATACCCTCATCTTTATTCCGCCTGCACCTTCGAACTATGCTAGCGGAAGGAGCTAGTAGCAAGCCCTATTACAGACAACGACCGTCTACTGAGTTGGGCAATAAGAGAAACGGTGTTCTTTTTGGAATGTATTCTCCCACGATTAGACAGTATAAAAAGCATGACTACCAGCAACGCCACAGATACTTTACAAACATCATCAGCGTAATTGGCCTTAGATCAAAACTAATGCTGTCTCTGCTGAAACCTTGTCGCAGGACACACACACTGGATGTTTGGATAAGAACGGAATAAGATGGGTGTTGTTTGTTTATAAGCCGCAATCTAAATGAAAACAAATGTTTGGACGGGATGTTGTATGTGGATAGAGACACGCCTAAATTCGTGAAGAATATTTGGAACGTGAACCGTGGCTAAATGGCCTCTGTATGTCTATACTCAGCCATGCTGCACACAATAAACCAAAAAGGGTAAGTGCTTTGCTTATGATTTTAAATTAAAGGGCAATTTAAAAATAATGCAACTGATAGTACACTGAATGTATTAAACATCTAAGACTCTATAAGGGTACAAAAAGACGCAACGATGTAAGAAGCCTCAAAAACTGGTGGTAACTTTTATTGCCTACATGAATCTCACATGAAAGGCAGTGATCGCTCCTTAGAACAGCCTGTAATTTCCGCACCAACGATTTGGGCTAATCAGAAATTGCTTTTTTTTTAAATGCATTTTTTGATGAATTTTCTGTCTAATCTCTATCAAAGATGGTCTGTTTCTGTGTGTGGAAGCCTTCGTAGGACTTTTAAGAGACCGAATAATGATGACGACGACAGACACGGCAGATTTCTTTAAAATTTATAATCTCAACGAAACAGAAAGCTGGAAAATAGCTGATCGTCTACCGTATTCTAAAAACGAACATAAAAACAGCTGCCGTTATTAACAGTGCCGTGGTGGGCTTGCGGTGTTAAAAAGCCTACCCTTTTTTAACACTACGAACGGTGGATAAACGCATTTCGTTGTGTGAAATAGTCTGCCAATGGGTGTCCCAATTCATTCCGAATATCTCCTTGATAACGCGGGTCATTAGATCAATTATTCTCAACTCTGCCTTATTTCCATTTCTACTCTGCCAATCAACAAAAGCTGTGTACTCCATTGAGTCTATGTGAAAAGCCAAATCGGCAAATATATGCCGAAATTCAAAATAAATAATTTTTTCTATTTATAAATTGCATGATCGCTGATGAGATTCGATAAAAATGAGCTACATAGTTAAGGAGAGCTTCTGCTTGATTGTCAATTAAAGTCCAGTGCATGCGTCCCTATAGGTAATTTTTCTAAGCATTTATATACTTTAAAAAAGTATAGCTATTTGCCTAAGCAAGGCAAGATTGCGCCAAAATAAATTGCCCTCAGAGGCTATTCGTGTTCCTTGATGAAATGAAAGATAGAACCTGATGGCGTAGTCTGTACAACACAAACAAATTTTTCCATATGCTGTTTCGTTCTTCTGTAGAATCTATCTTTTGCCTAGGCTTCTCATGCACCACATATACGAAGACTGGTACCCAAGTGTCCTCATGTTGCTAGCCTCTTTCTAATCTAATTCTAAGAGATTCAAGATAGAAGTCTGCGGGGGTCTCGCATAAATAAAATGAGCCATTAGGCTATATCTGAAATTTAAAGTCTAAATTATAATAATATAAGTCAGAATTATATAATCATTATGAATGAAATTATTCTTAAATGTCTAAGTTCAACAAATGCTAAACCTCATAATCTTGCGCCAAATGTTTAAAATTACTTGAAAATAAGGGAAAAAAATTAAAGAAAAGTGTAATGTTCGTACAATACTGATGACAAATACCCTAGATGCAATATTTTTCAGTAACTGCTAAAGCAACCTTGAGATCACTATGGTGACTGAAAACGGTGGGGTGGTTATGTGACAGTTTTAGGTTCTGTAAAACTTTTCCAGGCCCCAATGTGCAATATCGTGCGAACTGTGTCTGAAGCCCAACTTCAGACTTGTGGATTCGTTTCTGTACAGTATAGGATTTTCGTTTTATTGCTGCTGAATCATACAGGTTTATGCTGGGCATGCCGGAACCCAATAAAACGACGTCTAAACTTTTATTTGTCTCTCAAAAAACGTACGCCAAACTCGAAACAAACACAGCGTTAATGATGAACATGAATTGGTCATTCTAGGTGCACAGCGGTATGTATGGAAGTAAGCGGGAAAGTTGCATTCAATAAGCTGGCCCTGAGAAGCTTCTATGCACACCTAGTTTGCATATTTGCACACTAATAGAACGCGATACCGGTTGTTTATTTATATTATGTGTATTTTTTGTTTATTTATATGTTATTAATATAAAGCGATGTACGAAGTACCTAAGTGGGCAGTATCGTTCTCCACCGATATGTCGTCATTTAAGATCAATGCATATATATCAATTTGTGTCAAAAACGTAAAGAAGCCAAATACGATTTTGTTTAATAGAATATCCGAACAGAAACACAAGACAATGCTCAGAAGCCAGCTACACTTTACTACCAATGTTAACGGATTTATTTGTTGTTCTTGCTAGTAACTCTTACTGACTGCTATTCTTCTAAGTAACCTTTGTCATTAGCGAGAGTGTTATAGATAACAGGTCTCACTCTTCCATATATAGGTGCTCGGTGAATCTTACCGGTTTTGCAGAAGAGATATAGTTAAATGTTTCGCATCACTATTGCGCAGCGTTAAATCCTGAGCTTCAATTATCTCGTTGTAGACCAATGAGATCCTGCGTAGTTGGTGGCTGTACCTAGCAGATAGGCTGGACAGGAGGTTAGCTGAAGATGAAATCGCCAGCGGCCAAAAAAACATCGTGCACGATCGGTTACTTACTGATAGTTCCAACACCGATTTGATTTGGTCTTTAACTTACAGCCTATTTGATATTTGAAAGTTATTATCTGCAGTTACTATATGAAATAGTCTTTTTGTACCAAAATAGTGTTACACTGTCACAAAGCCGTCTCAACTTATGATACTAGAAATCACATAAGATCAAGCCACTGGAATTAAACGCGGGAGCTGAAGTAACCTGAATATTGTTACGAAGTCTTGAATTTATTAACGTAACAACGTCTGCTGTGCGTAGTCTGTACCGATTTTAAATGCCATGTGTTTTTTGTTCTGTGTCTTTCTGCCACCTGTACAAACAATTGGACTGTTTACACTAATATTTCGAAGCCCTCACACTTTCGAGACATCCAAGGCCCCATGATCACTCTTGACTTAATACCACCCCACTGTAACCTGCCACCGCGAGCAGCACCCCTGTCCTCCACATTGTTACCATTAGTTCCCGCTTGGCCTTTATCCCAAAAAGGCACTTCACCAGATTGGGTTTGTGCATGGCTTGGCTGTTCCTTTTCTCTTCCCTCGATCTCGACCCTACAATGCTCCTCGATTCGGCCAGCGATAGCAAGAACCAGGTCATTTCCCCAAAGTGATTCGAGCGCAGCTCTCGTTTCCGCGGCACCCAGACGGAAGAAATGCCCCATGGGAGGGCCGATTTCTGGGAGTGGAGCAAAGGAAAAATAGCAGGTGAACAGTCTAAATGTGCGCCACCTGCAAAAGCATCGAGTTGGGTGGCTGTTCTGAACAGACGGCCATAAGCAGAAGGTGCCATTGAGCAACAATAGAAACATAGAGACAGGTGGGAATCATTTTATACTGCTCAAAGCTCTATAGCACCACCATGAAAGGATATAAGAGAAGACAAAAGTTTTTGCCGCAAATATCGTCCTGAAGAGGGAATTTGGAGGCGTCCGTAAAAGGTATTTGCTTTGAAGGTGAGGGATGGGTTGAAACTGCGGCCTTCGTCCTGGCTATAGAGGACACTGTACAAGAGCATGAACAGGAACTCACCACAAGCTAAAAGGTACGCATACAATGAAGCCAAGCGAGAAGGCCCCTCCAGCGATTGACTAGAATTAATTGTTTCAGGCTGCGGGTACAACAAGATCAGAGCTTATTTCTTAAAGTGATGGCTACCATTAGTTGCCAGCAGCGTTATACAGAAACGAAACTTACTAAGAGCATAAATGTCTATGTATTCTTCATGCAAAACTTGTTCTGATCTTTAGTTAACTTGTTTTGACAACTCAATGGACTACCTAAACGACACTCGTGGTGTCAACGAAAACGTAAACGTTCAAAAAATTGTTTTTTTGTTGTTTGTATGTATTGTTATTGTTTATGCTCATTACTGTGGATCGAATCGTGAGATCATTACGACAGAAGTGATATCGGATCTATTAAATTAGTGGAATGAGCGAATTTATTGAAGTCCAAATAAGTGCAGAAGCTGAAGCATTCGTCGGCCTCTCTTTAGCCGAAACCTAAGGTTATGGAGTAGAAATAGTCCAATGGGGGGTCACACAGCCTGCGGAAGCGAGGCGTATCGCCGAAACCCTGAGTGGTGCTTGTAGCAGTAGGGGTAGCAGATCGATGGTGGCATTAACATAAAGCAGAACCTATCCATGTTGTTGTTTGCGCAGGTCCAAGCGCAGTACAGCATCTACCTCTGCTTCCAAGTAGGAATCACTTGATACGAAGTATTTTTCTATCTTGTTTTGTTTCGCTCTCTGATAATAGCATCTTATACTTTATATTCACACCCGTACATCCTCGTCGTCGAATGAGCCTGCAAAATTCGCTCTCGCTCCTCGGCATAGTTTAATCCAGATAGTTATACAATGTTATTTGTCTCCTTTCTACGTTCTGTTTGTGTCAAACGCAAAAAAACCAACAAGGGATAGGGCGGCTAACTAAATAGAAAAAGCCTTCTTCAGTAAAACGCGACTTAGCGCGTCCCTGCTGTACATGATGGCACAACAACCATCGCCACGTGTTTGTCGTATCTGAGGGATGCCGCACCAGTTCGGTAATGCAATTGGTTCCAAATAAGCAAACTAGAATCAGGCAACGCTCGTTGATTCATAGATGAAAGCTCATTGCTTTTGGCATCATCTTTTGGAAACGCTGTCGTTCGCGATGGTACAAGAAAAAGCGTATGAACCTTTAAGGTTCGTCACTGTCCAAAAGTCTCAGAGTAGCGTTCCAAGTTCGCGCCGACATTACAATTTTGCTGGCATTATTCCGCTTCCGCTTGTATTTCGCGGCGGTTCCCACCGGCTATCGTAGCGGAAACTCAACTTCAAAGAGCAGAGATCACAATATATAATATGCAAACATACTGTGATAGCGTAAAAAGGGGCGAGAGAGGAGTGAAGATTTTGAGAGCTATGAGGTTTTTTTTATCTTAGCTCTAACTAATGCTTTCATACACACACACACACACACGCAGGGGTTAGACACATAAATAAAGAGAGACGAAATATGTTCGATGGCACGTTGGAGCTAGGTGGCCACATGGAGACAAAGCAAAATGAGCAAAATAGGAAG